GAAAAGAGAAAGAAAAATGTATCTCTGTTTTATTTAAAAAAAAATAATGAAATGTTCTGACCTGAGAGCTTGAAGCCTTCTGTCTTCGGAGAAGGTACTTTATGAGAACAGCACAGCCCTCACTTCCCACTGCAGCCCGCCAATAAGCCCAACCCTGAATTGGAGGGGCCGTTTCAAGACTCTAGAGCTAGTGCTGGTTGGAAAACGGCAATTATTTTTCCACAAGAAATTTCCATTTTTAAAAAAATGTGTCCAAATTTCAAATGAAAATATTTTTTTAAAAAAAATGACCCCTGCCCCCCAACTAATGACATTTCTCCCATTCAATTTTTGGTCTCCAAAAACTGGTTTTGGTTAAACAAAATCGATGAAAACGTTCACGTTTTTTGTCCAAAAAATCAGAATGTTGTTGAAAATTATATTTTTCCATAAAATGTTTCATTTTTGATGAAATGCCATTTTTGGTCAAAATTACTTTTCAATTAAAAATGTTTTGACCAGCGCAAGTCAGTGGATAGTTCATTCTCTGTGCCTGGTTAGTTCTTGGAAGCTAAGTAAGGCTTTGTCTTCACTGCTAACAAAGGTGTGTTTTTATGTTGGGGTAACTAACGCATATGAACAATCCTGAGGTAAAACACAGTGATGACAAGTTTACCATAGGGTAAATTAGGCCAGGTGAACCAGGAATGAGGGGATAGTGCTGACCTCACTTAGTTTACCTCACGGTAAACATGTATTCACTGTGTTTTTACCTCAGGATTGTTCATATGCGTTAGTTACCCCAACATAAAAACACACCTTTGTTAGCAGTGAAGACAAGGCCTAAGGCTAGCTGTGACATGGATATCTGCCTAAGAGAAAGTGACCTGAGATTTCCAAGCTCATTCATGCAGACCAGGGAATGGACAGATGGTAGAGCTTTGTTCTAGTATAAGTATTTCGAATAGAGATGTGATTTTTTTTTTCAGCCATATTGGCTATGTCTACGTGATGAGCTCGGGGAGTGATTCCCAGCTCGCATAGAGAAATTCACGCTAAAATAGTAGCATAGGTGTGGTAGCAGGGGCAGCTGCAGCATGTGCTAACGGCCCTGGGTACGTGCCCGTGGAGTTCAGGTGGGTTTGTACTCAGGGAGGCGACCACAGTACTGCCACTGCCCATCCTACCGCAGCTAGCTCAAAGTATGCCTATATGCCAGCTGGGAATCACACCTCTAGCTCATGTGCAGACATAGCCACATAGTCATAGTACAACCCCTAGAGTGGATGCAGCTATACTGATATAAATGTGTCTTATGTGTAGCATTCCCCCCGTCCCATACAGCAATATTGATGTCGTTAGAGATGCACATCTCTTGTGCAAAGACGAGGCCAAGGTCTAGTGTATAACCACCGAGTCAAGCTTGATTTAAGCTATTGATTTAGATAGTTACCTGTAGAATATCCCATAGTTCTGTGGTTAGTGCACTGGCCTGGGATGCCAAAGACCAAGATTCAATTCCCCCACCCTCTCTGCCAGAGCGGGGAGAAAGGATTTGACCAGGGGACCCCCCACCTCCCAGAAGAACCCTCTTACCACTGAGCTATGGGATAGTCCGATGTGGCAGTCCCTCAATCTCTCTGTTGCTGTTCCACCGTGAATAACTAATAAAAAAGTGATTGGAGCAGGGGGAACGGACTCAGGGTCTTCCACCTCTCGGGTGTGTGCCCTAAGCACTGGACTATAGAATCATTCACATTCTCTCTCCCTCTGTCTCAGGTCCAGCGACACAGAGGAACAGTCATTGGGTGAGAGAGACTCAGTCCAGGGGTTTCATTATTTATCCCTAGCGGAACAGCTTCCACAGGAGCGATTGAGGGCATCCCCCATCAGAATATCCCAAAGCTCACTCTCCTGAGAGGTGTTCAAATCATTTCTCCCTCTTGGGCAGAGAAGGGGGCATTGAGCCTGGGTTTCCCACATCCTAGCTGAGTGCTCTAACCACTGGGATGAAAGTTATAACCCACCTCTTCCTCTCCCCTACTCCAGGAGGCATTCTAAGATGCCTGTCTCTCCACGTTCATTGTATAGGGAGCCTGGACGTCTAACTCGGCTTTGTGGATTGCCGTGCTGTTCCTGTGATTTCCTAGCTGCCTAAAAGTTAGGCGCTATGATGCTCAGTGTTGCAACACCAAAGTCCCTTTGTGGATCCCCTCCCCGCTAACAGCTAGAACAAATAACTAAGGCAGTGGGCTTATACTGTCAGAGTAGGGTGACCAGACAGCAAGTGTGAAACATCGGGACAGGGGGTGGGGGATAATAGGAGCCTATATAAGAAAAAGCCCCAAATATCGGGACTGTCCCTATAAAATCAGGACATCTGGTCACCCTATGTCAGAGCCCAAATGCAAAACTTTGCTTCATTAAACTGAATCCCCTTGCCACTAAATTCAGGTGAAGCCCTTGAAGACAGGAAAGTCACTGACATAGAAATGACTGAAAAGGTTCTAGAGATGCCATAGGAAATTACCGGCCAATTAGTTTCAACGTCATCCGTGGGGGAAGTGTTAGAGAGTGTTTAAGGGATCAAATGTGAAAGCACAGCTTGAGTAAGGAGGGCCAATGTGGTTTGGGGTAAGGAAGGCTGTGTGCCTAATTTGACGGAGCTCTCTCAGGATATTACTGTTAGAGCAGTCCGAGTGAGCAAAATGGGCATCGCCTATTTAGACGTGGTGAGAAAACTGGACAAGGCTCCTCAGAGAAAGTTAATGATCTAGGTGGGGAGTCCCAGAATAAATGAATGGCTTAATGGCTTAATGCACGGGAAATTGGCCAAAAGCAAAGGAACAAGTGGGAAGGTCTTAATGGAACCTTTCGATGTCAGGAGGGGATTGTTACCAGGGTTCCTGTAATGGACCAACACAGCCAGCTCACCTGGCGTAGAACAAAACCCTGCAGGGCTAGATTGTGAGTGACTGAGCTCCCTAGGGCAGGGAGCAGTCACTTTAAGGCTGACGCACCATGACCTTGTATAAACATGGCTCTCAACAGTTTCATGTACAGCTGTTGGATTTTTGCATTTGTTTTGCACTATCTCTCCCCCATTGTTCTGTCCTAATGGATTTTTTTAAAGCGCTTTTCAGAACTAACAGACGTACAAACAAAGGCAACTGCACATGAGTGACAGGGGGCTCGATCCTGTTCCCAGTCTCTTCTGCGATCGTTTTGCCAGTGGCTTCAATGGGGACAGACTCAAGGCTGTCAGATGGTAAGGCTGGCTGAACACGCCTAGATTGCCAGGGTTGCAGAGTGTGTGCATCACACTGGGAATTGAGGCTGAGATTTTTCTAAGCAAATCAGAGCCCCCAGTCCCCTACTCAGTGTTGATGGTGCTGCCTGTTATTTTTAATGGCTGGATAGTTTCACATTAAGGGTACATCAACAGGGTGTGGGCAGGAGACATTTGAAATAATGGTCATTTTATTATCATGGAACCTGATTTTCATAAACTCAAGCTAATTAAACTGGTACACACATGTAGGTGCCAATGCATGCCTAATTTGCACATGCAGTTACTAGGACTGAGCATAAAGCAGGTAGCCATTGACTAGATCGGGCCACTTGCAACTGTTCCATTTGTGCACATACTGCAATTGCATGCATAAATTGGGCACATAAATGCATGTATTCCAGGATATTTCACTTACTAGGACCAGGAACACTCTGTGTTGCTCTTTGAGCCCATGATCTAGCTGCAGAGCCATATTCCTGAGACATTATGATACAAATAGTGGACTTTCTGATCTCTATACATACCTATAGGCTAACATTTTCAAAAGCAATGGTATGCCCAACATAAGTCACGGTGAAGAGAATGTTGTAAATTGGAGAGGGTGCAGAGAAGAGCCATGTAGCAATGCCTGCTCCTGGCCCCTCCACAAACGCAGTCAGAGACCAACTGAAGTGCAGCACCTGTGTCCTTTTATTGTTTGTGTCCGTTCCCACCACCTATTATTTACAGATATTT